ACTCAGAAATAGGTTGTTATTTATTTATGGGTAAACTCACAAACCAGAATCCTCTGCTGGAACGGAGATCAGAAATTGAAATTGGCAACTGGAACAGAGAGGCCGGAAAAGAGAGCAGACACGGGCTCTCTGATCAGCATACATAGTATAAGAGGCCATGCCCAGTAGGCAGGTAACCACTAGCTGTAAGACTTCCTGCAGCAGTTTGCTGTAAGGATGAAGTGAAATTAAAATGTAACCTAGTACACACTCTGAGATGAGAAGTCCACCACGATTTCCCCCCTTACATAGCTTGCTCATTTGCACATAATACCTTTCTTTGCCTAGGGGACGCCATTTTTTGCATCAGGTCAGCTTACTAGTGCATATTTTCAGTGTATGACTATTTCTACTTACTGAAGAAACATCTTCCCAACCTTGTAACTTGGACTTTTTGGGTTAAATGGAACCCTGTGATGCAAATGGTTGTAGGTGTGGGACAATAGGCATTTCTGAAAGCTGATGCTATTGTCAGAAGCAAACTGACACAGCCTGAATTCTACAAAATTATCTCTAGGAGATGAGTAAATGGATAGTTATATTGGTTAACTGTACTAGCTAAGATTGAATTTGCAGGGTTAACTACTTGGGGAAGTAAATAAGAATAGGAACTGAGATGATGAAGGTGGAAAAGTGGCAAGGCTGGTGAGGTAGGTGGTGGTCTTTGATGATGTCATCCCCCTGCCTCCTGTTTTTTGGAGGTAGGGTCTCACTGTGTAGACCAGGCTGGCTTTGAATTCACAAAAATATGCCTGCCTCTGTTGCTTCACCATGACTGGCTATGAGGTGGATTTTAAATCCTGTGATAAATTTTTTTATAACATCTTTATTCCAAAAAGAAGTAAACAGCCTTTGTCAACTGATAGTGCTTTAGAAAAGTTTGTTTTGGTTTTGAAGATTTTGATACTATTTAATAGTTGGCAGCCTTGACAGGGCTGCTGATGTATTGAGCTGCCAACAGTTGCCCCAATGTCAGCAGGAAACTCTGATAAGGAGTCTCACAGAAGAGTGGAAGCGGGGGAGATCCAGCCAGCCCAGTAGGAAGTATTTTCCAGAGTGCTTGCCTGACAGAACCTTAGGGACCCTTGGGTATGCTTGATATTTCTAGATACATGTTCTTGTCACACTATCCTTAGTGTTAGGCCCCTGTTTTCATGTTGGCTGTAGGGAGTCAAGTTGTCAAATTTCAACCTTGGCTTCTGATACTCTTGGTTCCCATTCTTATTATACCCTCCTCTCCCTGTGCGCGCGCTCCCCCCCCCCCATCTTTTACTCTTGAGTCATGGTTGATTCCTTAGTATTTGAGGCCATTTAACTTTGTCTTGTGTCAAATTTAGTCTCAGTGTGTGTATGTTCTCCCTCCCAGTGTACTCTCAAAATGTGTTTCATGGAGCAGTGTGGTTATATTAATTGAACACAAAGTAGTCGTAGGAGCAGAGTAAAAAATTACAAATTTAACAACCGTTAAAACCACCCCCCCCCCCAATTTTAGTAGCTGGATGTGGTAGCGTATGCCTGCAATCTCAGATATTTAGAATATGAGGCAGGAGCCGGGCGGTGGTGGCACATGCCTTTAATCCCAGCACTTGGGAGGCAGAGGCAGGTGGATCTGTGAGTTCTAGGCCAGCCTGGTCTACCAGAGCTAGTTCCAGGACAGGCTCCAAAGCTACAGAGAAACCCTGTCTCGAAAAACTAAAAAAAAAAAAAAAAAAGAAAAGAATATGAGGCAGGAGGATAACAAATTCATGACCATCTTGGGAAACTCAGCAAGACTGTTCCAGACTTATAATGAATAAATAAACAAACTAAATGAGCAAACGAACAAATAATTAAATAAATAAATTTGTTTTGGCGTGTTGTGCCACCACAGAGCCAATGTCCGATGCAAACACACTGGGATTATTGATTACAAGTTAGCTAACTTGGACCATAATCCAACATACTGACGCAGCGGGGTGGGGGAAGCCAGCCCCGAGGCTTCGGGGTAAGGGGATTTTAAAGGGAAAACCTGCAGCCTTGGCATGTCTGAATGGGTAAAAGCATACAACTTTTGGATTCATTGGTTGGGTGCATGTGCACATACACTCACATAATGAAGAGAAAAAGAGAGAAAAGAAACTGGCCTTCTGTAGAATTTCAGCTTACAATTGTAGATCCTGAGTCCCAGATGGAATTCATTGGACTGGGTATACTTGCTTGCCTAAGTTATCTTGGAAATTTACCTTGAACTTTTGCTTTCACCCATAAAATAAGTAAGAAATAATATGCATTAGCTTTCTATTTGCTGCTACAAGTTATTACAGGTCTATTGACTTAGAATAACACTGATTTTGTTACACTGACCTACCTAGAGAGACCAGGAAACTTCCATCTCATCATGCTTAGTCACATCTGCCAGAATGTGTGAGGTAAATTTATATGTCTAAAGGTTAGAATATGGATGTCTTTGGGGTTTTATTTTCTATACTGGATTCTATGGTGGAAACCAGAAGGTTCTTTGTTTTGTTGTGTTTCCCAAGCAGGGTCTCACTATAATATATGGAGTCTTGGAACTCACTATGTAGACCAGACTGGCCTCAAACTCACAGAGATCCACCCTACCTCTACTTCCCAAGTGCTGGGATTAAAGGCATATGCTACTATTCCTGGTCCTAGAAGGTGCTTAATACTAACCTAAAGACATTTCTTCAGTTTAAGAGTTTAGCACTGGAGAGATGGATCAGCAGTGAAGATTATTAGATGCTCTTCTAGAGGACCTGAGTTTAACTCCCAGCACCCACAAGATAGCTCACCAATTATCTGTAACTCTAGTTCTAAGGGATCTGATTCCCTCTTATCACCTGAGGATACCAAGCAGATACTGGGTGCACAGTGTACATGCTAGCAAACCACTTGTACACATATAAATAAGAAATAAGTATTAAAAGAGGGGCTTATCCCATATAATGCTAGGCTTTTAACTTGGTAAATTTTCTATGAGAATTTTCTCTTTCCGGATTGCTCTTGGGCTCTGGAGCCTGTGATATGTTGCACTATTTCTTGGAGAGTCTTAAACAAATGTCTGCTCACCCCAGATAGGGAATCAGGGACAGACCAAAGTACAAATGCCACTTAGGTCCATGTTGGCAAACAACTGAGTTTATTGGGGCCATTTACTGGATGGAGCAGGAATGACTTAAAGACAGCTGCCTCACCAAAACCACCCCAACATGGATGATGACTGCCAAAAGTTGGAATCCTGGAACACACTGCTTGACTTCCAGGCAACTCGCCAGGTCAGAGGGTGTCTTTGCTATGTTATTTAGTTAGTCTGGTATTCGTACAGGCAGCTTGGTAGCCTTTATGACTTACATAAGCTTGGAGAGGGAGTTGCTTGTGCATTTGGTTAATTTCATGGACTTCCTGAGTTGTTAACGTTGACTTCCTGAATCTTAATGATCTTACCTTTAAAACCTTGGAGTCTTTCTTTTATTTTGAAGATTTATTTTTATTTTGTGTGTATGCATGTTTTGCTTGTATGACTGTGCACTGTGTGAATGTCCACAGAGATCAGAAGAGGATCTTGATCCCCAGGAATTGGTGTTGAGAATGATTGGGTACTGCTATATGGATGCTGAGAATTAAATCCTGGTTCGTTTCAGGAGCACCAAGTAACCTAACCACTGAACTAAATCTCCAGCCCTAGAACTTCTGAGTTTTAATGAGCTTCCTGGGTCTTAAGGAACCAGGAAAGAAATTACTGCAGAATAGCCTGATATAATAGTCAGTGCTAGAACTGTGAGCATAGACCTTGGGATTTCTGTTGTTTCTAGACTTTTATAACTAGCCTGCTAATTATACTGATAGTTTACCACATTTCCATTTATCACAAAGTCCTGAATGTGTCTCTAGACCCTTATGGATAAGTTAATGTGACCGTAAGATCTAGAAGCCAAACAGGATACTGTCTTGGTGAGTTTTATTTATAATTGCTTAGTGTTAGATTTGTAATATTTCATAGCAATTTAAATTGGCATTTATATGAGATTCTTTCTCTCCTACCTCTTATCAGATGGCTTCTATCTTAGACAATCATTACTTTCAAGGTAGAGAGAAAGAAGTCATAAAATATATTTAAAAGTGAGGTCTTGAATTCAATCCCTAGTACCGTGTGAAAACGAAGCATGTTGGTATACGCCTATAATCCTAGCACTGTATAGGCAGAGACAGGAGGATCTCTTGAGACATACTGGCCAGCCATTCTAGCTGTTTGAAAAGCTCCAGGTTTACTTAAAGACTCTGTAGAGAGAGATGAGAAGACATCTAACATCAACCTCTGGATCCACAAATGTATATGCACATGAATATGCGTATATATACAGATAGATCTTGGTTTTTTTTTTGTTTTGTTTTGTTTTTCGAGACAGGATTTCTCTGTGGTTTTGGAGCCTGTCCTGGAACTAGCTCTTGTAGACCAGGCTGGTCTCGAACTCACAGAGATCCGCCTGTCTCGGCCTCCCAAGCGCTGGGATTAAAGGCGTGTGCCACCACCGCCCGGCGATAGATCTTGATTTAATTTTTATGAGTGGGTATTTTGTTTGCGTGTGTCTGTATAGAATATACAGGGCCGGTGTTTGTGGAGACCAGAAGAGGGCATTAGATCCTTTGGAACCAGGATCATAGACAGTTGTGCATGTTGGGAGTTGAACCTGGGTCCTCTGGAAGAGCAGCTAGTGCTCTTAACTGTTAAGTTATTTATCCAGCCCTTATAATATCTTCTTCTAGTTGTTTTATTGTGTTCTCTCCAGTGCTCGGCTCCTTGTAATGAAATGGAATTCCCTGTGAATTGAAAGACTATTCCCTGCCTTAAAGTTTAAAGTTTTGAGGTAGCTTAGACTTAGTACACAATAAGAAATGCACAAAGGGAGTCAAGGCAGTCTGTAGCCAGCCTGGTGACATTTCCTTTTCATTTTGTTTCTTAGATGCACCCACTGGGCCTGTGTAATAACAATGATGAAGAGGACTTGTATGAATATGGCTGGGTAGGAGTGGTGAAGCTCGAACAGCCAGAATTGGATCCCAAACCATGTCTCACTGTCTTGGGCAAGGTAAGCACCAGGCCTTCTGTGTCACTGCTATTGTGTGATGTTTTCCACTTAAGTTTTCTGACTTAAGAAAGAGTCATGCTGACATAGCAATCCAAATCTGCTCTATCCCTGCCTTCTGTGTGGCCTTGGGCAAGTTGCTTTTCCTGAGAATCTCAGCTTCTTGTTTGTGAAATGGGTTATTACTAGAAACCCATAGTACTATATGTTATACCTTTAGGGCCAGATGTTTAAACCTAAGATTTGGGAGGTTTGGGAAAGTATTAGGTGTATATATTGTCTCTTAAGTAACCTTGGGGACCTGGGGCCATACTCAGTAATCACACATATTCATATATATATAGCAAATCATATGAATATTAACATTAAGTGGGATAACTAATCTAAATATTCTCCTGTTAGCCCACAGCTGCTTTGCCTTAAAATGAGTTCGGGTCCATTAATTTTTGTTGCCAGGTACGTTATGGAAAATCTTAGGATTTAGAGCTTCCTTAGTTTCAGAACAGCAGAGAGCAATTATGGCCCTGCATTAGCCGGGCGATGGTGGCGCACGCCTTTAATCCCAGCACTCGGGAGGCAGAGGCAGGCGGATCTCTGTGAGTTCGAGACCAGCCTGGTCTACAGAGCTAGTTCCAGGACAGGCTCCAAAGCCACAGAGAAACCCTGTCTTGAAAAACCAAAAAAAAAAAAAAAAAAAAAAAAGAAAAGAACTTACCTCCCAGGTGACTAGGAGGTGAGGTGACATGCAATGCTTGATGCCTAATTTGCCACTATAACTTCTGACTGCAGTATTAGATAGAAATAAATTTACTTTGGAAATCCATCCATCAGGAACTTTTAATCTGATAGGTCATAACTGTTTTAAAGTAGATCGTTTTGTTAAAAGGAAGGGTTTTGTGAAAGTAATTTGAATTTTTGGTTAGAGGAAAAATAGTCCCTAAGAGTAGTCTTATCACCTAGATATTTTATGGACCCCAGAGCTACAGATCTGTGTCCTCTGGGAAGACAACTGAGACCTGTCCCTGGAAGCTCAGACTCTTTTGGATATTCAGGCCAAAGAAGAGGTGGTACTGTGCAGGGAGCCATCACCAAACTTAAAGAATTTCTTGCCAGACACTCTAAGCTTAGCATGTGGCTCTACCTGTCTACTTGCCAATTCTTTGGTCCTGGAGACTCTCAGAAGTCTAATTTGCCTTTTGAGAAGCTCCATGACTCTTGACAAGTTTTCCTACCCTTTCATTGGAGGGGAAAACCTGACACAAATTATAGCCTGTTTGGTTTATGGTTCACTAAGTTGAATCAAGGTGTTTGAGGTGGCTCAGCCTTGATACTTCATCATTTCAGTAGTTGACCAGAGCTGTTTAATGATGGTTAGGAGCAGTAACCCTCTTGAGAGTTAGTGTTTTCTTAGGAGAAATGCCAGCTACATCCAAAGTGTAGGAACAGTGCTCTCCTTGTAGGTGTCTGCTTCGAATATGCCATTTGCTTCTACACTTAAGCTGCTGCTGTACCATGCTCAGCTTACTGGCTTCATTTGTTTTCCCCAGCCCAGTGGGTTGTAACAGGGCCCAAAGTATATGTCCTTAGATAATTTAGTGGCGGGCATTTGTTGAAGTCATTCAGAACCAAATTGTTTCTCCACTGCCTGAATCAACTGCACCATGGTTTACTTGGTGAGTTTTATATGGTTTGGCCTGCTGGTCTATGAAGCCAGGGGGATAGAAACCTTAGATAGGTATTGAATCATGAAGCTCTTCTTGTGTTGACTTTTCATGAAATAGTTATTGAATGTGGGGGACTAGGAACTTAGCATAATGGCTCTACCTGCCTAAGAGCAGCAACTTATTTCTGTTGGAAAAGGCTAGGACTGGGAGTGTGGCACAAGGCAGCCCACATTTGCTATTGCTGTTTACCTTAAGAGTTTGGGTCTGAATAAAATCATTAGTAAAGATGCCTGGGCCAGACAAAGTAAGATGGTTTACTGTTTGCTTTAAATGTGGGTTGGTAATGGAGATGTGATAAATCCTCTCCTTCCTCTTCCTCCTCTAATTTCATTAACTTTGTAAATTCTGTTGTCTACTTTTATGGTTTCCCAAGGGTAGAAACAAAAGACTTCAGTGTGGGGGAAGGCATAATAATCTTTCCAGTAGCTCAGCATGCCAATCCCTTGCAGATAGTATGAGTTTTCCTTCTATTTCTTGGCTTTCAGTGGTTATGGCAAGGAGAGATAGGCATGGAGAAGCACAAAGGCATAGGAAGTGGGCTGGGAATGTGACTTGGTAATAGAGCTCCTGTCTAGCATGTATGAGGCCTTGGGTTTCATCACCAGCACTGCAAGAAAGGAAAAAAGTTAAAAGGTGTAGGAAGAACACACAGCCAGCCCAGTGTGCAGGTGGGGCTGCAGGAACTGCCATGAATGGATATTGAAACTTGTCTATGTCACCACAGAAAGCCTGTAGGAAACCAGAAGGGCTAGACACGGAGCTCTCCTGCCCACAGGAAATCATGACATGATTATTTTAAAAGGTATAAATGCTTCTCTAGGATTTCAAATCAAGTTTTATTTTAAAAGCAAAAGGCATAGATTCATCGTCTTAGTTTATTGCCAAGGGGCTTTGATATCAGCACTTTAAACTTACAAGAGAAAAAAATAATTTATGATCACATACTTCTAATCTTTTTAGTTCTGTAGCGCAGGTATAGACAACATCAATTAGGTAAAGATTTTTGTTTTTTGTTTTGTTTTTTCGAGACAGGGTTTTGCTGTAGTTTTAGAGCCTGTCCTGGAACTAGCCCTTGTAGACCAGGCTGGCCTCGCACTCACAGAGATCCGCCTGCCTCTGCCTCCCACGTGCTGGGTGTGATTAAAGGCTTGCGCCACCACCGCCCAGCCAGTTAGATAGAGTTGAGGTAAGGATGAACTCCACAGGAAAGAAGCAGGCCAGGTTCAAGTAACCTAACCAGGCCTTACTTTAGACCAGGCTCAGGTAAACCTCTGCAGCCCTTGGTGGTTTCTTTTTCACTTAGTGCAGAGATGCTGTCTTTGGGACCTTGTTGTCTCGTAACCTGACCTTCTGGACCATGGTTAGGATCTTCCCTAACACTCTCTTTACAGAGCTGAAAGATTGAACCCCTTGGAAACAGTAAGATTGACATTTGGGGGCAGCTTACTTTTGAGAAAGGTCTTAAATTATTCCCAAAGTGCAAGATTCTGTGTGCCTCAGGCATTTCAGCTCTTCAGTTTTGTAGTGTTTATTAAGCATCTTACAAGGCTACAAAAATTTAAGAGGTTGATCTTAATTTGACTGTTGTGACCCATCAAATTCGTGGAGACTCTCATGTCAGGATGCATGTGAAGTGCTAGAGTTTCCAGCAGAATTCACTTCACCTGAATTCTGAAATTCTAGGCTGGATAAGCTCCAAACCCAAGGTAGACCAATTCTGTGCTAGCTTTTTGAAATACAGTACATCCGACCGGGTGATGGTGGCGCACGCCTTTAATTCCAGCACTCGGGAGGCAGAGGCAGGCGGATCTCTGTGAGTTTGAGGCCAGCCTGGTCTACAAGAGCTAGTTCCAGGGCAGGCCCCAAAGCTACAGAGAAACCCTGTTTCGAAAAACAAAACAGTCAAACAAAAAAATACAGTACATCCAGAAGGTCTGGGCCTGCCTGTTTCCAGTGCTTCAGAAGATGGGGAAGTTAGTGAACAAATACTTAGAGAATTTTATGTTAGAAATGCCATCTTGGCTGAGTGACCTTAGAAAGGCAATTTCAGTTCTTGGTGCCTTGCTCCTTTGTGAAGCATAGCCTTTCTGATTGCTGTAGGGCCATGAGGTATTAACAGAGCACTTAGCCCATACAATTCTGAATGAAGGCAAAAGCAGCCATCCTGGGTGGGTGCTCACTGCCTGCTAGGAGCTGTAGATGTCTTTGCTTGTCACATTGACATCTTGTCCACATTTCCATGTTATGTTGAGTAAACTGAGTCCTAGTTAGTTTCTCCACATTATCTGAGATCACACAGCTCACAAGAGCCTGAAGATGAAACAGGACTATTCTGTGTTTCACTAGTGTTGACTGGCCAGTCTTCTAGATAATAGACACTAGCTGCTTTTAATATCATCTGGGTGTGGTCTGGACTGTTGCTTCTACATGGCAGAATCACAGCTCTCACTCTACAGGCAAGGGTTGTTCTGAAGGTTGAGCAATATCACAGAACTTATATCTGGTACTGCCACTACTTACCAAGTCAGCATCCCCCTCCCCAGATCTCTTTGTAGACCTGCTTTATCTCCCCTGCCCCACCTACTCAGTGGAAGATACAAATCCAGCATTCCTGTTTTTGATTCTAAAAAATTTCAAGAAGGGGCCTCATTGGCCCATCGCAAATCTGGCACTTTATAGGCTGACCAGCTGTTCTCTGGGGCTAAAATCACACTATGGAACTAAGCCTGTCTCACCTTGTCATGTGTGAAGGTAGGAAGAAAATGTTTTCTTCAGAAATGGGCTGAAGCCTGGAATACTGCTGGTCTGTTATTCTTTTTTTTTTTTTAAAGATTTATTTATTTATTATATATACTGTATTTTGCACCAGATCTCATTCCAGATGGTTGTGAGCCACCATGTGGTTGCTGGGAATTGAACTCAGGACCTTCGGAAGAACAGGCAGTGCTCCTAACCTCTGAGCCATCTCTCCAGCCCCCTGGTCTGTTATTCTTAAACTAAGGACTTAGTAGTTGTTAAGTCAAGAATGCTATCATAGCCTTGTGGGCGGTGTTCTCGGTACGAGGTGACCTGAAGTTAGGTCTATTGAGAGAAGACTCTTGGGCCACGTGTTTTCATAGTAGAGATCTGTAAATGGATGTGGTCATAGTTATTGAAGGGATGGCAGCCAAAGTGGACTATGAAATTAAGAGATGGGGAAGAACAGCATAGAGCAAAGGAAGCCAGAGATTCTTTAGGGATGTGGAAAGTTGCTGAGGAAGAAAGGTTTCATGTTGAAGA